CCTCTCTCCAGGATGCCCCAATCCTTCTCCCCAGGTCCCCTCCAGGATGCCCCGATCCCTCTCTCCAGGATGTCCTGATCCCTCTCTCCAGGTCCCCCCCAGGTGCCCCCCGATGCCCCCACTCACTCTGCTCCTCCAGTTTGTTGATGTCCCTCATGATGGCCCTGAAGAAGGGTCTCTGGTGGGGGTCGTAGTTCATGCACTGCCTCATCAGATCCGCCAGCTCCTTGCAGGACGGCGTGGCCAGCACAAAGTGCCCCTCGTAGAACCTCTCCTTCTGCAGGGACAAAGGCAATTCCATGGCTTTGAACTTCCAGAACTCCCAGCTCTGAGCTGAGGGCGCTGCTTGGACTCGAGGATCTCTGAGGGTTTTCCCAATCTGAGCAATTCCGTGATTTTTCATCACAGGATGTGCCTTAAGTCCTTCATTCACTGGGAACTTCACCAAGGAAATTCCCATTTTTCACCYTGAACTCTCCTCCCAATACAGAATTCCTTCTGTGCTGAGCTGGAGTAACCACTGACCACCCACCAAGTGTTTAAAAGGTTTTGAAGATTTCTCTTTTCTCATTTCCTGTCAGGTTCTCCTCGTTATTAAAGCCCCAGGAAATGTTTGCCAAGGACACAGCGGGTGCTCCTCACAGCCCCGAGGGGCAAGGCTGGGATGAGCATTCCCAGTCTGATCCCACTGATTCCCCACTGATTCCCAGTTCCCACAGGGCTGTCCCAGCTCCGGGGCAAGGCTGGGATGGGCATTCCCAGTCTGATCCTACTGATTCCCCACTGTTTCCCAGTTCCCACTGATTCCCAGTTCCCACAGGGCTGTCCCAGTTCCAGGGCAAGGCTGGGATGGGCATTCCCAGCTCCAATCCCACTGATTCCCAGCCCTAATCCCACTGATTCCCAGTTCCCACAGGGCTGTTCCAGCTCTGGGGAAAGGCTGGGATGGGCATTCCCAGTCTGATCCCACTGATTCCCAGTTCCCACTGATTCCCAGTCTGATCCCACTGATTCCCAGTTCCCACAGGGCTGTCCCAGCTGTGGCCAGGGGCAGGAGGGGCACGAGACTGACTCCAAATCTTTAGGGATTGCAGTGAACAGGAGCAGTCATCCCATGGGAGACCATTTGAAATCCAAAAAAAAAAAAAAATGAAGAGATATTTGGGAGAACCTTCCTCAGCTTCGACCTGGATGGGTTAGGAAAGGCTGGGAGAAGGGAAAACTCCAGGGAGAGCTCAGAGCCCCTTTCAGAGCCTAAAGGGGTCCAGGAGAGCTGGAGAGGATTTGGGATTTGGGATGGAGAGCCAGGACAAGGGGAATGTGAGGTGCCTGTGAGGCTGGGTCCCAGGGGAGGTGTGTAAGGTCTCACCTCTGCCAAGGTCTTGTCCTTGAGCGGGATCTC